AGAATGAAAGGCAGTGGTCCTCATGGACAAGCTGCCTCATGCCAGCTCCTGGTAAGGTACCATGGCCTCATCCCTTCATCTTCCCAAAGCAGCAGCGAGCTTTGGTGAGTTCAAGAGAAAACACTGAAGCCTCTGACTGCTGCTCGGCCTGACACAAAGCTGGGGCTGGGAAGCAGAGGCGGGCTCTGCATAGTACAGGATTTTACCAATTATTCTTAAATTAGATTATGTACTAGGTGATAAAGGCCAAGACGAAGCTACAGAGAGAAACTCTCACAGGGCGGAGAGAACTGCTAACTGTACTATTTATAGAGGACTGTGATACAACAGAAAACCAAGGCTCAGGCAGCCAGTAGGTAGAATTCAGGAAGGGACACAGCCGTCATGATTCTTCACGACACAGCAGATAGGGCTGTCATACGGCCCTGGGTGACAGGGATGTGTCCTTTCCAGTAAATGGCCTACCTCACTGAGTACAATAAGCTCACTTGTGTCTCCTCGGGCTTTCTGTGGGTAGCAGCAGCAGATATTTCTTCTAAGGGGTCAAAAAAGCAGGACCACCTCTCCCCAACAGAACAAGGTGGGCACTGCTCAGAGGAAGTGCCCAGCAGCCTTAAATCAGACCCCATCCCCGTTGACAAAGCAGGCCAACACACAGTCAGGTGCCTCTTAACAAGTATGTAAAAGAATCTTGAAGAAACCTAAAAGCAGATGTTTTCCAAAAGCAGATGTTTTCCCTGCCAGACTCTGAACCACTATCACACAATCAGGTTCCCTCCCTGCTCATCTATGAGACTTGGGGTTCAATAAGATCCCCTCACATAGAAATGGCTCCAAGAAGCTGCCTGATATCAATCCTGCCATTTAATCTATTGAATAACTTCTACGCATCGGTAGATGTAGCAAGGAAGAAAGGGAGGTACCTCATCCTTGGCTCCCATAGCACTGAAGGCAGGATGATCCGTAGACAAGATAAACCAGGAGATGCTGCCCCAAACTGTGGAAGAAAAATGAAACTCCCGGGGAAGCTGAACAGGGGCTGTGAGGCAGAGGAGCCCCTACACACAGAGAGAGATGGTTGTGTAAGAGGGCCCCTGCACACAGAGAGAGATGGTTGTGTAAGAGGGCCCCTGCACACAGAGAGAGATGGTTGTGTAAGAGGGGCCCTGCACACAGAGAGAGATGGTGGTGTAAGAGGGGCCCTGCACACACAGAGAGATGGTGGTGGGAACTGCAATGGGATTGTAGTTATGGAGAAATGGGACAGTACTCAAAGCAGAACCAAAGGTTTGTGTGTAGTGTGGATTACTGTTCCACTCATACCCAGGAGCCAAAACCATCATTGGAAAGATGGTGAGACTCTGTTCTTAGTAGAGCTGGACAGAGAAACCATTATTCTCCTCGTTTAAGGGAACTACTACAAAGACTTGATCCTTCTCATTCATCATAGACCCACCCTTTAAAAACTGCCAGTTGTAAAGGTCAGCCCTAATTGATCAGGAGGCAGGAAATTCATGCCACCTTCACCCTGCTTTCCTCCCTAAGCCACCAGAATCCGTAATGGCAAGTTCAGGCAACCTCTGTCTGTTCCCTTCACAGACATTGCTGCTAACCTGTTTCCCAGGTGTGCTCCAGCTAGGCTAACTGACTCCCCACCACCCCTTCCTAACACCTGCAGCCTTGCCTGCAGCCAGGCCACAGGGCGATGAGTGAGGGACAAAGGGACTCTTCTAGAACATGGAGAATTGGACTTTGGAAGGGACTTTCCACCATCTTCTGATTTTAAAAGCAGATGTGAATTTGGGTAGAAATAGTCATCTTTCCCACATTCTTTCTCCCTTCGTATTCAGATCCTATTAATCATAGGAAACTGAAATGTTACTCAAGCCAACAGATTCTCAAGGTCTTGCCAAGAAGGCAATTTAACCATAAGGCTCTCCGCCCTCGCATGATGGAAATTCACATGAGTGAATGAGTAGTTACATGGTGCTAATGGGGATGCAGAAATGAAGATCCCAAGCTGTATTACTTGAGTCTTCCTGACTGAGCACCAAGACCTTGCTAGCCTATGGTCCAGTACCCTGATCAAGCTCTTAAGCTTGATCCCCCTCATCGATGAGCTTTAGAGCAACCCTATGGAGACTAAAAATCTTATGCTCACCCATCTCAGGAACCCAAGAAATGAGGAAATGGCAGGGCCTTCCATAAGGTGAAATCCAATTGATGGCTAAGTCCCCCGTTGGCATGAGAGATGTCTCAACTAGAAAAGCACACTCAAGAATGCTGGTCTCTTCCTACCTACACATGTGGACTCCATGGTTCACAGCCCTATACACTTCCCAGCTCCCGTTTTCTCCCGTGTTCTTCTCAGCTGCCTTTCTGGTGCTTCCTCAGCCAACCTGTACAAGAAAATAACCTAAGCCAACAAGATGGCACCCCAAGTAGGTATGCTTGCCGCCAAGCCTGACAATATGAGTTTGATCCCCAGAATGAGAATCAACTCTCATCAGTTATCCCTGACCTATTCACATGCCAACGAGATGGCACCCAGAGTAGGTATGCTTGCCACGAAGCCTGACAATCTGAGTTTGATTCCCAGAATGAGAATCAACTCTTATAAGTTATCCCTGACCTATTCACATGCACCAGCACAAGAATGCCCCTCCATACATAGACAGACAAATAAATTTTTAAAAAATTCTGTAACCCTACCTTAAACACTACACCAAGCTGCCCCCGTTTTCTAGACATCTAGAGCAGATGTCACATTGACTTCTGGCATGAAGTATTCAAACCACAAATTCCACATATGTGACCTTTGAGCTTATTCTCAACTCTTGCCCCATCTCTCACCCATGCACCTAAACAACTTACCTCAGAACCCCTGCTTACAGCCTCCATCACAAAGGACATTCTTAAGAGATGAGAAATATGTAAGCCAGCTCATCATCCTTCCTTAAACTTTACTCAACTTGTAAACTTTGAACCTGATTGCAAATCATATCCTGAAACATTTTTGTGACTTCAAAATCAGATGCCTAACTGCTGTAAAGCCACCTAAGGGTTATTCTTTCTAGAGAAAAACACACTCACTCCTGGGTGGCTGCTCTAATTTTCTTAATTAAACCCAACTTTGCTTCATACTGACTGTGGTGGTTTGTATGAGACATGCCCCCCCCACCTCATAGGCTCATGTATTTGAAGACCTGGTCCAGCAGATGTGCTGTTTTGAGGACACTATGGAACCTTTAAGAGGTGGAGCCTTACTGAAGAAAGCTCATTGCTGGGGGAGGGCTTTGAGAGTTCATAGCCCATCCCACTTCCGTTCACTCTCTCTGCTTCCTGTCTGTGGTTAAAGATGTGATTTCTCAGTTTCCTACTCTGGCTGCCTAGGCCTTCTCCACCATTAAAGACTCGAGCCCTCTGGAACCATAAACCAAAACAAATTATTTCTTATGTAAGTCACTTTTGGTCACCTAGTGTTTTATCACCGAGACAAAAAGCAATTAACACACTGACTCATTGCAAAATTATTTTCTGTGATATCAGTCAAGATCCTGGCCCTATCGAAGCCGAGATCTCTAAGGTGAGCTCCTCAGGCTGCACAGCCAGTATCTCAGGCTGTGTTTCCCCCTTCCACTGACACACCCAGAATGTCTTGGGCACATTTTCTGCAGCCTGGACCCTCAAACGCCCATCTGGAGCCATCACAGTCTTGCTTGCTCTCGAGCGGCATCCTCTATGGAAAGCCTAATTAGCTCCTCCAGAGATGACCCATTTCTGAGATATAGTACCACAGGCACACACTTCAGCTACCCAGGGTGATTGCTCTCACAGCCACCATGGCTGTCCTGGCGACAATGTATCACTCCTCTCAATGTCACTGAGCTCCCTGGAGCTGCCGATGGCCAGCTCTGCTTCCAGGGATGGCATTTGCTGTCCAGGCAGATTCATCCATCAACAGAGTCATGCTCTGACTCCGGGCAGCTTCTTGGCTACATTTTCATATGTTCCCAAACTAAATATCTGCCGTTATTACAGAACAAGCGGTAAAAGGACACTCTGGGGGCTTCCAGTGAGGATTAAGTATGAAGGCTTCTTTCTAATAACATTTTTGTCTTGGGTTGACTATGCTGATTAGGGAAGACATTCGGGTGCCTGATATCTTTTATACAGTCAGGCAGTAGCAGATACTGGAAAGAAAAGAGATATATGGAGACAGATAGACAGATACGATATATAATGCACATACATATACATGCATACATTTCTACACAAACATATACCTACTTTGCATCTATAGCTATTCATGTGCCATGCTTATGAATTAAGATTAAAATGAGGACTCAGAAACATAATTTGCAACATTAAAACATTCTTTTAAAATTTGTTTTTGCTTGTGTCTCTGAATTGAATATTTTATTAACCCAGTAGTCTTATTATTCAGGACCATCAGAACATTTGACCTAAATCCATATGATTTCTACCAGGAAGGCAGTAGGGATGAGCTCTTTTCACATAATTTATATTAACAAACTTCATAAACATTATGAACTGTAACCATCTCACCTCCTGTTTTTACAATGTAGTGGCTCCGAGTTTAAGCCTCATAAAAATGATTTATAGCCATACGGTTATCATTCCTACATTTAAGCCACACCCAGCACATTCTGAGAATGTTTCCCATTTGCCCTGTTGCTCAGTCCTGGTAGAATCTGAGTCTGCACTGGCCTGGCTCTGTACACTAAGCTGTGGTGCCCTGTGCTCACCATAGGTTCCAGAGATGCCACTTGGGGTGACCACTGCTTTGTTGGTTTCTCGGAGACTGCCAGCCTGAAAGCCTGAAGGCTAGACCTTCCAATCAGCCACTTAGCTAGCACCTCATATTTGAAGAGAAAATGGACTCCAAATAACATTTCATTATTAATAAGACAGAGGAAGGGAGAGGAGGGGAGAGGAGGGCAGGGGAGGGGGGAGGATCTGAGAGGCTCAGTCTTTACCTGCTTTTGAAAGAGTTTCATTTCTTTCCCAGGCAGAGTCATCGTTGGGGGATGAGAAAAGTCGACTGTTCATCTGGAAAACAACAGAAACTTTTCCAGTTCTCTGTTTTTTTTCTGATCAATAGCACACATCCGAGTGCTGGGAAGTCGGCTCAGTGGGAAAAGCAGCTGCTGTGTAAGCCTGACAACCTGAGTCAGATCCCCACAATACATGTTCAGCTGAGCACGGGGTGAGAACATCTACCATCCCCAGGACTTCTCTGGAAAGATGGAGGACAGAAAAATTCCAAGAACCCCAGGCCAGCAAGCTTAGCACACACAGCAGTGCACAACAAAGGGACCCTGTCCCAAGCAAGGTAGGAAGTGAGGATTGACCCCAAGGTTGTCCTCTGACCTCCATATGCACTGTGGCATATGCGTGCCTGTACACACACACACACACACACACACACACACACACACACACACACGTATACATCACACACGGGGCAGGGTGAGAGAGTCAAGAGAGAGTATACATTATTTTTAAAACTAGAAACATCCCTGGGATCTGTCTGTTCTCCCAAGAAAGAACCAGAGAGTGTTATGAGCATATCTCCATCGAATTAGCACTGCTGATTAAGTAAAGCAATGGTTTCTGATTACTTCAAAAATGTCCAAGAGGGAAGGAGGAGAGAGACAGAAGGCCAGAAGAAGAAGAGAGAGGGAAGGAGGGAAAGAGGAAGGGAAGAAGGGGGAAGGTGTTGAAATCAGCTAACATTGATTCCAGGTGGATTTTGTTAGTAGATCAAAAAACCACCTCCCAGTGTTGGGTGGATGCTAAACCTGAACATTCAATAAATATTGGTAAATCGACTAACTGAGCAATTAAATTTCAAGAATTAGCTTGTAAAGTCCAATGAAAATAAGATTAATGTCCATGAAAGAGTTCTATTGTCTGTAAGCACATTATCACACTGATTTTCCCCTTCAGAGGCAAATGGTTGAAATTCTTCTAGTCTTTGTAAAAGCAGTCATCATGAGTGACACTGTTGGACCTGGTTATGAGAGTGAGGCTACAAAAGGTTTGTCCAACTTTGTTTGACACGGCAAAAGGGTGTTCATGATCGGGAACCATGCACTAAGTTGTTCAAAAAAAAAATCACACACACTAAAATCTCATAATGGGGCTGGGACATGGCTCATGCATGAACTGATACATGCATCATCACCATTACTGCCATGATCATCATTGAGGCCACTGTCATCATTTCCATCATGGCTGTCACCATGATCACTGAATGTTAGTGTTTGACCAGCAGACTCTGGCAATACTCACATATCCACTATACTCCTCTCTGTTCTAGTCTCACACTTAGTGTGGACATGTCATAAGAAATACAGGATAATGTGTGAAATACTTTCAGGAAGGGGAAAAAGTTGCCCTGAGTGTGGTGTTGGAAAACAATTTAAATGCCAAGTTCAACAGTAGTTGCAACCCAAACAGCCAGGAGGTAGAGGGATCAAGCAGGGACCTGCCCAGTGTGAGCTTAGAGCTGGGCTGTGGTCTTGTGCGGCTGTTTTAAGGAGACTGCTGTACATAATTTTGAGGGTACCTATCAAGTCACTGCAGCTGGGATGTGACATCACAGGTGTCACCTTCACTTATTTACTCTGATGTACATTCCATCAAGACCTCAGGGGCACTGTGAAGTAACCAACACTTAAGTGTGACAGTTTGGATTGAGGATGGCTTCTGTCTGTTGGACCCCAGATATCGCAGCAGATGAGTCACTAAGAGACTAGGCCCCTCTGCAAACGCCCTGCTTCTCCAAAGCAGCTCTGGCCACTAAGGAGCTAAGGATTCCCAGTGACAGGTGACTCTGGAACTCCTTTGGTCAGCCTGACCCACTCACAATGTTTGGAAAGTTCTAGCTTTGGCTCTACTCTCGGTAGGTCTTTCACAGCCATCCCTTTATACAGAACAGCCCCTTCACTGTGATGAAGGCAAAGTGTCAAGAGGACCCTGTGTGTCTGCCCCTGATAGTCTCAGTCCATCCCCAGGTCACATTCTGTGAGCTTCTCCATCCCCTTGACTGCACACGCTTATACCCACCACAGGGTCTTTTCCCGTACTTGGGAATTTGTTTAATGTGCTTTCCAGGCCTTCCTATGGAACTTATCTCATATGACCTGGCCTTATCAGTCTCTCCTGACATTACCTTCAAAACCAGGTCAGGATCATGCTCTGTACGCCCTCACCTACCATTCTTTACCTTCAGAACACATGCCTTCCTTTCTAAATACAATGGAAAGCATGGGGCTACACCTGTCTGTTTCTCAACTGTAGTGCCTGTGAGAATAAAATACATCGTACCCTGCTTGCGAACAAATTCCTAGCTCCAAATATATGGCTGGACACATTAGATCCCTCAATTAGAACTGGTTGGGGGGAGGTAAAGAATGAGTGTGTGAATAAACCAAAACAGAGCCTCCCTTCCCAGGAGCATGGTGCACAGTACTCCAGGATCCATTGGCTTGACTCCATAGGGACCTCCCCCATCAGGATGTCCAGCCACACCTTCCTCAACATCCCCATCTGCCCCTGACTCTTAAATGAACAATGCCCCCCCCACCTCCCAGACGTTCTCCTCCCTGACTTTCTACTCTCCACAAACCCACATGAGGGTGCCATCCACTCCAGTGATCCCCACTCACTCTTCAGTTTGTCAGTATTCATTGAGACTGTGGCCCACATCCCAGAGTTCCTCTTGTTCTGCTCTCCTGTGGCCCATGCTGCCAACTCTCCTGGATGGCTCCTACCAGCTGCTCCTATTGGCTACCCTTCCTAAGCATCTCACCATCCCATAACCATGTCTCCCATAGCCTTGATGAAAACCTATGCAGCGTCCTACTCCCTCTCCTCCATCACCTGTGACATTTCCATAAAGCAATCCTAGCTCTTTGTCTCCCCAGCTTCCAGGGTCTTTTTTTTCCCAATAGATTAAAAACCTAGTAAAGGCCATTCATTTTCATGAGCTTTTTCTGAATAGAGTAGTTCATAATATCAAAATGTCAGAAGTATCTGAATTAGCCAACATCAGAGAACAGCTTTGTAGGTCACAGCACATGTGTACAATGAAACCCAGACATCTGCCACCATTATGACATTGCCTGTGATCCTGGCTACATCTACCTCATCTGTCTATTACAGTTTGTCACAAGTGATCTCAAATGGTAAGATAATCTGAATGCATCTTCTTAAAGGACAGGATTTTTTTGTTTTTTTTGTTTTGTTTTGTTTTTGTTTTTACCAAACTTACATTTTTTTTAACAAACTTAGCCCTGCATAGAGATAAGATCTGAACTTCATGGTAGTCATCACCTGTGAGCTGCCCCTGATGGCTGCTTTTGTTACAGACAACACTCCTCAGTTTTAACTCTGTAAGATACACAGTGTATGGATCGGTGTGTGCTCCATTTCCTCCCCATGAAAAGTAACCCCTAATAGGTCAGGTCTTTGTTCACAACCACACTGCAAAATCCACAACAGCCCCAGGTCCATAGTTTATCCCCCAAATGCAAACAGAACAATGGACGGATGGATGGATGAACAGATGAGTACTGAGAGCAGAAACGCTCGTGATCCACCATAAACACAACAGGAAGCACTAAAGGTGTTCACTATGACGGCTACACAAGTAAAAGCCCTCACTCGTGAAAATATCATTCCAAACAGTGAAAAGATATACAAAATTAATATAATTCCTTTGGTTCCTCAGATTCTCAGTAATGTCCTGTGCTCCTACTGGAGATGGCACCCAAATAGGTCTTCAGAGAGTCAGGGAGTATGGACCTCCTAAGCACCAAGCCAGAAGCAGCCCCAGCCTAATTCACACCCTCTCCCTGCACCTCTGCACTCAAGGACTCCAGCTCCCCTTTCTGTGACTAGAGTGCAGTGTCCACAAGCGTGTGACATGTGTGCACGTGCACTTGCCTAACAGCCTTGGAGACGATTCCTGAGCCTGGAAAACATCAAGTCAGCAAACAAGACACTGAACCTCATACCCCAGGAGAGAAGAGACTAGGGAAAAACAGTGGGGAATTTCCAGTCTAGATGCAAGCCGGCTGGCTATGCCCAGTTCCTTAACGCCGCCTCTCCAGACGCATGTGCCTTAGGTACTTTTCTTATTGCTGTGACAAAATGCCCAGCAGTCAACTAAAGGGAAGGGAGGACTTATTTGGGCTCAGAGTTCAAGGGGATACAGTCCGTCATCCTGAGGAGGACAGGGCAGCAGGTGCATAAGGCAGCTGATCACATTACATCTGCAGTCAGGAAGCAGACAGGGATGATACTGGTCCTCTGCTCACTTTCCTTGATTCCTTCACCAGGATCACCAGCCCAAGAGATGGTGCCATCCACATCCAGGGTGGGTCTCCTCTACTCTCTTAAGCTCTTCTGGAAACACCCATTTATAGACACATCTATGGGCTGGCTACAGTGATTCTAAATCCAGTCAGGTTGCCGATGGTGATTAGTCATCAGAGCAAAGGAAAGAATATCCCAAGTCTACTTGTAGCCCAAGGAACCTAAGACCAAGAGGTTTAGGGCCGGGTCTTATCTTTAGGATAATGACAGAAGTTGTTGGGAGTCCAAAGAAATGACCATCTCTTTCCAACACAAAAAAATATCTTTTCCTGGGAATACATAAAGTTCCACTAGGGGGCAGGAAGTACATGGGGTGGTGTGGTTGGGTCGCCTTGGACCACAGTTTAGTGAGGGCTCTATTAGAACAGCACACACTCTCCTCCGCCAGTCAGATGCATGATTGATCTTTGCCAGTGGTACATATTTGTTTTCAATCTTCTGAACTCTTTTCGGCAACAGTAATTAATGTCAGACAGTGTATTTTCTGGTTAATGCAACCCCACACCTATAATAGCTCAAATCTGCGCTTTCTCTCTCTACCATGCCTCCCTCTCCATGCTCCGTCTCTTCATGTTTACTTCTGGTTTAACTTTTTCTAATCTAAAATAAATCAGCATGAAAAGCATTAGATTTCTTCATTTAGATTCTCAATTGACTTTTATTAC